GGTATTAATTGACAGTCTGCTTACTTTGTGTGGGTATAAGCTGTGGGTACATAGCAGTTCTTAACATTTTAATTGGTGAGGTAGTGCATGTTTTGTACTCCTAGTTGAAGGCATTGTAAGTTTCCTTCATAAATTCCTTAACCTGTTTCATTGGGTTATTAAACATGTTATAGGTGGTGCCTCTGTGCTTTGCAGTTTTCAGTGTTCCTAGTTCTTGCCAACAAGACACAAAGGAATTGAACAGAGTATGCAAAAGAGTATCTTCTGATACTCGCGGATGTCACTTCCATATTGAAATTTTGGTGTGCTGACAGAATTGGTCTATTTGTGTTTAGCAAGATCAAAGGGCAAGCTCAAAATAACATTGCTACGGTAAGAATTTAATACTTTATTCTACCTCAAATGCCTGTGCATGTTGTCACTTCCTTTTCTCTTCTCAGAGAAAAGGCACTTTGGGCACCTTTCGACACTTGATAGAGTAACTTCACTGTTTAATTTTTGTATCCCAGATTTCTAAAAGACTTATTTTTTAATGAAAATATTTATTGAGTAAAGTTAAAATTTTAAGTATGATGTATAAACCATTAAATTTTATGCCTTTTTAGTTTGCAGCTTTTGTGGTGTGTTTTGCAAGTGTGTGTTAAAGCATAGTATAGAACAGTACTGTACAAGAAAATTTCTAGGCGTTTATGGTATTTGGAAAGTGAGGCAGATACAAAGATGTTGGAACAGGTTTTTCAAACACAACACTTAGCTTTTCAACAGTATATAAATTCTATTTAGAAAGTGTGTGAAAGTATCCAAATAAGGCAAGAGGCGAAGAGGCGTGGGGTCAGAGTATTCGCTGTAAAACTTGGTTTCTTTTGGTGTGTTCTCTAAGTTAAATAGCCATCTTTGTCATATAGAAGTATAGGTGGAAAAATTCTGGTGAATAACAGCAATATGCCTACCTTGCTGGACTGCCCTTGGCTTTGTCAAATAAACATTTTCTCTGGCATCATTGTGAAATGCAAGTCGGGCACATGCTGCAAAAACTCTCTAGACTGACAGTGTACAACAGCCAACCATTGAGTAGCCAAATGTTTAAAAACATGCAGAGAGAGTTAATTGATTACATCAGGGTTTTCATACTTACGGGAAGTAGGATAAAAACTAACTAACCTTTCTATGTTCTTCCAGTATTGGAGGGGGGAAATAAGAAAGTGATGGATCAAAATCAAACAGAGGTTTTCTTTTGGATTGACAAACCTCAGCGAAGTGTAGGTAGTATTTAAAACAGCATGCATCTTCCTCCAAGTCGTTTCAAGGGTTGATCTGCGAATACCAGTTCATGTACTTGCTGCTCAGCAGACCTCCAAAAGGCTGCTGTTTGTACTGGTATTTTGCAAACAGGACTGTTCACTGGAAGTCTGCAGGAAAGTTGTCTCCTACCGGTTTGCTTCGTAAATTTGGAAGTGATGCTTCTGTGAATTAAGTTGATTCAAGAAGAATTGAGAGAGTACCTGTCTTAATCCTAACGTAGCTGGAGGAGGAGGTGGCTGATTGCACTGTCAATGTAGTCTTTCACTGTTGCACTTCTCTTTTGTCTGTGCTAACAGCTAGTAATCTGAAAATGGCACTGCATAGTCTTTAAAAGGGAGTTTGTAAAGTGCTGGGAGCAGGCAGGTGAAAATTCAGGAGCATGACCCCTAGGATTACAGTTAGTTTTGACTAGCTTTTGCTACGTTTCTGAGTGGATGAGAATCAATTAGTGGGACCAAGCATCGAGACACCAGGACGCATAATACAGAGAAAACAATGATTCATGCTTCGGTACAAAGCGGATGGATGTGGGGACATAATTCCAGTGTACAATCGTATCTGCAACAGTTAGTTTGCCTCAGCTCGCTGGTAGCTCAGGTTCCCCCTTCATACATCTTTGGGTAGGAGGGCTTAGAAAGCCCTGCGTTCAGTGTGGTGTGCAGTCATGGACCCACAGTACAGCCCCCGGCGTGTTGGGAGTGGATGTGGGGAAGCAAATAGGGCAAACGTGTCCACAGATTTCGGCTGTGGCCCGTAGGAAAGTTCCAGAGGTTCCGTCTGTGAGAGTTTTTGTGGTTTTGAAAAGCTTAGCTACTTTGTTGCTCTCAGCAGTTGAGCAAATACTATTTTCAGATACTTTAAAGTAGTAAACTTGGGGTGAGAGGAGGGATCTTTGATTTCAGTAGCTTAGAGAGCAGAAGTCTCTGGTTGAAACTGCACTCTCCTTCATGGCTGTCTTCAGAAACTTAACCTTTCCTGTTCTGACTTGAGAACAGATTGTGAAAAAAACACGTGAATAGTTCTCTGCTATGTGGGTCAAGGAATTCTTCAAGAATTCTTTGATCAGTGGTTGAATCTTATAACAGGAACAAAAGTATTAAGTCGGTGGCAGCTCCATCTCCTGTGAACCAGAGAATGCCAAGGCGCGTGTTCTGTTGGAGTGCAGCGAATGGTTTCTGCTTAAAAGTCTTCTCTCTGAAAAAGCTTCAGTTACTGTTATTATACTTTGGAGGGCTAAAATAGGAAAGGGTTAGGAAAAAAACTTTTTCCGTTACCTTGACAGTTATGAGGGAGAAATATTTAAAAAGGGAAATGTAAGATTACAGAAGTTGGTTAAGGCACTGAGATCAGCTATTGTACTAGAAATTTTTTTATGGTACTCAAAATCATTAATTTTAAATTGGCAGCTACCTTTTAATCCATTCTACAAAAGTTTTTGTTGAAAATGTAATAGATTTCTGTAAATATCATTAAGGAAATGCATATTGTAAATGAAAGAAGTCTGCAGTTTGTGTATGTTTTGTTTTAGAAGGGTTGGGTTTTTTTGGGTTGAGTCCATTTTTTTAATGAGTCTGAATAAATCAAAATCTGAAAATTGCCTTAGTCTTATCTTGACAGTAGGTTTTCTTAACAGTAATACTAGAAGTATTTTTTAGGTTCAGTGCCTCTCTTTTGAAGTTCTCTTTGTATACTTTTCAAGGGTATGCCCAGTGAGCAGGGTTTCAGTGTGTGGAAGTTTTGAGTCACATTGCACAGCCGTACAGTTTTCTTGTTCATAAAGCACACAGTTTCTTGTTGTTCTTATATAGGCAATGATTTGGACAGAGTTGTAGAAGCTAGACCCAGACATTAACTGATATCAGAGAAGTGATATTTTTTCATTTGCACACTTGCTGATATAACTTTTAAAACAGGTTTTGTCATCAAGTTTTATGAAGCTCCTTTTAGCTACAGAACCCTATACATAAATGCATTTGTGAAAGTTGCTTGTAGTTTTATATGATTTAGAGTTCTATCCAGATTTATGGATGCAAATTTTGTTTGCTTTTCAGGTTCCTGGCAAGATTTCTGTATGCATTGATTGTGAATTACTAAGGTAGCAATTGCAATTTTGCTGCAGTGCAGACTTGGCCACAGTAATTCCCGTTTTATACTGCCTGCTCAACTGGCCTGTCATACTGTCTTCAGTTGGGGCATACCCTAGAAGGTTGTTTGGAAGCTTTTGGCAAGGTGTCTGATAGTGTAAATTAAACTTGACATTATTGAGCAGGAAACATGCAAATGCAGTCAGGAATGACGCTTCATTGTTTTTATATTGACATGTATAGAAGGAGAACAAAAGTCTTAGTGAAATGAGGAGCTTTGCTATGATGGAAGTAGAAGGGGAGATGTAGAGCTGCTTTATTGGGCATGTTACCTTAAAACAGCAGCTGGATGTCTATCAGAAAATGTCAGATTGAGATACAGATTTTCACAGAGCTAGACTAGAGTTGTGAATTTCAAATAATGCTGTCAACAAAAGTGTATCTAAAACTATGTTTGATCAAGACTGTCTAGCATGAGTTAAGTCCAGAAAGGTAAAAGGAGGAGCCGATGACTGCTTAATTTAAAATTCAGAGTTACAGTCTTAACTTAATTTGAGTCCGGTGCATTTTCCTGAATGGGTAGTATTTTGATTCTCAGGGCAGAGAAACATAAAACTGTTTTTTGCATTGGTTATATCCCTTGTTTAGCCTTTTTAGACATATACCAAGAGACTAACTTAACAGGTTCATTTTTACCAAATGGAAAAAATATGCACTAAGTTGCAGTGGGAATGTTGCATTTCTTTGGGGAGTAAATGTGTATATGCAGATTTTGTCTTTTTCATGTATTCTTCCTCTATAAGAAAGATGGACTTTCTGTCTTACTCTGTATTTAGCTATTATTATTATTACTGTCTATTATTATTATTACTGTCTGTTTCTCTTTTTCTTTACACATTCATGAGAGAAAATGTCAGTTTTGCATATCAGTGAATTTTTAAAAACACATTTTTGTAACCATCTCTACAGTGTGCTTTTTAAACAGAATTATTTTCATATATTCATGAAGAAATAGATAAAAGATTTCAAGTTTTAGCATTTTTTGGAACAACGAAAAATATGGTATATAACTTATTCAAGAATACATTTCAGTAAAGTGAGTTGAAAAATGTACTAGGTCTGGGGTAGAATTTTTTATTTAGATAAATATAGCCTGTTAATGTAAAAACATGCACCCTAGATATTTTATGGTCTACCAATAAAAGAATAACAAGAGCACAATATGAAAAACACATATTCGTCAGACTTTGTGACACAGTTGGGAAAATAAAGAGTGTATGTCAGATGAAATATTAGCATAAATGCTATTGTTCATAAACTATTTTAATATGAGAAGAAGAAATGTCACTGGGAAGAATATACTTAGTGAAAATCTGGTGATGGGTAATTTGATTTTTTTTGTTGTTGTTTTGTTTTGGGTTTTTTTTTGTTTTTCCTTGATAAACAGTCCATGTTTTCCTTGAAATCTGTGGCAAATGAATGTGATCAATTTGAACTGTCCTTGTCTCAAAGTAGACTTAAATTTTTTTTGAGTACAGGAATATTTTACTTTTGAAAATGTATTTACTATACTGTATACAGCTTGCTAACTTGTATGTGAAATGTCACTTACAGGTGCTGACCTTAAAGAAAGAGCAAAAATGCACTCAAGTGAAGTTAGTTCTTTTGTCTCAAAAGCAAGAGCAACTATTAATGACATGGGTACGTAGCCTCTCCCTTGAACAATGATATTTTAACTGTAACCTTAGAAGGGTTAGATCAGAGGAATGACATAAGCGTTCATGATTAATTCTTGACAGGTAGTAGGATATCCACAACTATTTGTATTGGTAAATACGAATTATGGTGCGTTACTACTTTTAAAATGTTCCTAATCAAGTTGGACTTTTTTTTAGAATGCTAGAAAAAGCTAAATGTCAACTGAAATAGAGGTGATTTGCCCTGCTGTTTTCATAAAGGATGGCTTGTTCTGTGATATCCAAGTATTTTAGAATTTAATTTTTACTATTGCATTGTTGTGGTTGGTATAATTAATACAGTCTTTAATACATTTTAGAAACATGTTAAACATCAGCTGTTGATAGAAAGTTAGCTACTAAGGCCTTCTAAAATTGTGTTTAATATGCACTTGTTCTGGTGTAGTAAAACCTGTTAATAGTTCAGGATTTTAATTGACTTGTACCAGTTTTTAAGAATAGTAATTTCTCTGTAAATTTTACATTATGAATTCACCATCAAATCATTATGTTTCTACATCTCTGCTGATCAGTTTTGACTGTCTTTCAACAGGGCATTGCTGATATGTTTTGCCAAAAAGAGAACTCAAGTGTACCAAGTTTGAAGCAATTAATTTTATAGATTTGATTTACATATGCAACATATTTTGTCACTTGAAATTTTGGCACAAAACTATGAGGAATAAATTGTTTCTCAGAGAATGTTTTTAGATGCATTTCCATAATAACATTGGGTCAGATTTTGGTTTTGCAGAATGTTATGAATGTAAACCAGTATGTTTTTGCAGGTAAATGATAGACTACTGAAGAATGAGGCTTTGATTAGGTACTTCATGGAGATACTTGTGTTCTTGAATTAATGTTTTGTCTTTGAAGCAGATCCTCAGGGCTCTTTAAATAAATAAAATCAGTAAAATATCTAGAAGTGAATAGATCATTAATTTCCTGCAGCTGATACTGTATTTCATGCTGGCGTTTGTCCTTTTATTGGAATGCAGAGCAAGAGGCAACAAGTTGTTCCATTTAGTTACTTTGTAAGATTTTTGGGAGGTTTCCTTAGCTCTAAGTAATAATTTTTCAGCCTTTCTTGGACTGAAGTTACTGGAAATACTTCCTGAGCTGCTACTAACATTTAAATAGGGACCATTGGTTTTAAGATTTTCCTATGATCAGGAAATAATTTTTAAAAATTTGATTATTTTTAATTTTTTAAGTGAGAAAATTCCTAAAGTCTAAAGAAATATTTGGATTTGGCATTCTGCACTGAATGACTGGGAAATACACAGAGTGATTTGATGCTTTGTTTTGCTTCAGAGTTTAAAAGACTTTAAGACAAATGTTTGATTGTCTTCAACTTTGTTAAGGTTCCTGTGAGAGTGTTTAACTCCTGAATATGTAAGCAAATTTTCAGTGTTATCTAAAAAGTTTACAGTGGATCATTATGCTAACAGTGAAGTTTAGGAAATCAGTATGACTGCTTTCATTCATTGATCTCTACTCTCTTTCTCAAGAAAGAAGCATGAAATTGTGAGTAAGTGGAATTAATATTTGATAATCTAGGTCACTGAAGTACCTAGATAGGAAAGTTTGTGAGGGGATGTAGTAACAGGAATTAGACATGCTGCAGGTTGGAAAAGAGAGAGAATTTGAACATAGCCCTCACCCGATATTGTAACAAAACTTTTGCTTAGGTTGGGTGTCTCTCTCCACTCTCCCTTCTTCCCCTCTTTCTCTCCCTTCTCCCTCCCTCCTTCCCTCACTCCTTCCTTTCTCCCTTCCCCATTTTGCCATTTCTGCTTTAAAACACTAAACAAAACAGTCACTAGAAGGTTCTTTAATGGTTGCATTATATTTGGCCATCTCCCAGTTCATTTTTCTTAAAGGCTTTTTTATGAGATTACAGAAGAATATTGAGGTATCACTTCTAATGTTATTGGTCAATTTTCATATCATATATGTTTGGACATGCATATTTATAAGTAGCTTTTATTTTTCAGTATTCCCACAATATACATATTTGAGGCATTGTTGTTTGTGAACACATTATGCCAATGGTAGATGTATTTATAGGATGGATCTAACATTTTTCTGAAGGGTCTTTGCAGAGCAATTTAAAATGTGGTTCCCTACATCAAGAACTGATAGAGAATATAAAAAAGTCGATTTTATAAATGAGATTAGATTAGATGGTGCACAAGGCATCATGTTGTGTGATGCCCTTGTGAATAGAAGTGAACATTAATTTTGTAGCAAGTCAGCGGTTCTCAGTTCTTCTTTTTTTCTTCTGAAGAAGTCATCTAGCATTACAGAACATAATTTTTGTAGAACTGATGGGACATTGTGTTTGCATTTCATTACTGCAGTGAATCTGTATATTGAAAATAATAATGATATTTTTCCTGCCCAGCAGCAACCAGAATATTGTGAGATGGTTAAAGAGAGGAAACAATTTTAAAATTATTATTTGCCACTGCAGAATGCTATATAGCCAGGGAACAATATTTCCAATTTCCCACTTCGTTCTTTTTCTATCCAAGTTGAATGCTGTAATCTCATTTAAAATGTGTTCTACTTTTTGCTTTTCAGAAGTAGGTCATGTTTTGGTAATTGCGATTGTGTTCAGATGTGTGACCCTGTAAGGAGATGCTTCTTTTTAACAGTATTTTCAGTAAGAAGACCATTCAGTTATCTTTGTAGACAAAATACACGAAAGGTTAATTACATCTGGGAAAACTGGATAAACTTAGCTTTTCAGAATTGACATGCTTTGGCTTTCTTTAGTTCCTGTCAATTTCATTACATTTAAAATCCTTATGCTAGTAGTTTTCTAAAAAGCTATAGTATCATTTTGGAATACAGCTACAGAAGAGAATTTTCTGGAAATTAAAAGCATACTGCACTTGTTTTTATGGGATTAATTTATAACTTCTTGCTAAATTTGGGTGAAGTATTAAGACTGCAGTAAATATGGTATAAAAATAAGCACTTAAAGAGCTGAAAAAATTGTACTGAGCTGTTAGTTGCAGTTCTTAGAGCTTTAAGCTGAGAGGGGAAAAAATCAAAAGAGCCTCTATTTTTAGCAGTGGTTGCTTTTGCTAAAATTATACTAGAGTTGTGGGGGTTTGTTTGTTGTTTGGGTTTTTTTTAATAGTAAGACTACTTATCCATTACTATATTCTGCCTTGAGGCTCTTTGTTACTGATATAAGGCTGGCTATACCCTCAAAAAACTAGGGGAGAAAAGCATTAATAGATCTCTTGCAACCATGCACAACAAAACAGGCCTCACTAAATGAAATCAAATGTGACTGACTCCCAGAAACCTTGTTTTTGATGCTTTGGGGGAAAAAAAAAACCCACCATCATTATGGGTCAGATCTTCAGCATATATTTTATGGTATGACTCCCATTAAGTCCATGTTGTTCTTTATATTGGCTGTGGGGTCTGGACTGTGATACTACCATTGTATATATGGTATATATACATCTCTCTATATATCTGTATATATATCTGTTGGGATTTCAGTTGCAAAACAAACTGAGGCTACGTATGGGGTGAATGCAGTAACCACTCTCCTCCAGAAAAACACCTTGTTTAACAGAAAGAAAAAGTGAAGCTGCAGAATGAATTTCAACTCGGCAAATACTTGTAGTTACTCAGAGTGACATTTGGCCCCAACCTCTAATAAGTGAGAAGCACCATTGGTTAGCAAAGCTCTTCCAAAGAATATAGGCGTAACTACCTAAATCCCACAAATGGGGAAAAAAGAATTGGAGACTGACTTTCTTGGTTACTTTTTAAAATCAAAGTTAAAGTGTGGTCAGGCTTGATTTTCATGTCACATTTGGAGGCAAAACACCTTACTCGTGGCCTAATGGAACCTAGATCTGAACTAAGCTAAGGAAGAAACTTTTAGTAAAATACTAATTTTACTTGTTTTCTGTTGGACTGTTCTATTCTAAGAAACCTTATAGTGCTTTGCTTAAGGCATCTGATTAGTTTTGATGCATAAATTGTGATATAACTTTAATAAGTATTTAGTAACTTTGTTTAGACTAATTTTCACAGACGTGATTAGTTTTGACATAGTCCAATTTGAATGAGATCATCCTGAATGAAAGCGGTCAGTTACTTGCATTTGTTTTTTTTATTGTGTGCTTTTTATTTTATTCAAAGCAGATACAACTTTTTATTTACAGATTTGTGTTTTTTTCCTCCTTAGCAATTTTCTGTCATTCTGGCTTCTCTCAGTCATCACGAAACTTTCAATTTACTAAAAGAGTGCTCTTGTTCATCCTTCAGGTGAACAGTCTCTTCTTCAAGTAGTTCCTTTTTTGACTATTGAAGATCATGCATCCTTGGAAATTCTTAGATTGTGCCACATTATATGCCACAGTTTTCTTTTGGATGCAAGCTGTTAAAACTTGATCTTAGAGGTCCCAAGAGTGGGATCAGGACTATGTAAGTTTCACTTGATTTCTGGTCTGTTAACTGCCATCCCACCTTCCCATTGTAAAGTGTCAAAAATAAGCAAGAATGATCATTGAAGAGGTCAGTGCAGTGCCTTATTTTACTATTTGAGTTTCTGGGGCTTCTATGGAGCTTTGGTTAACATTAAAAATCCTGGTTTAGTAATGAACACTCCAGACCTGATTATTACTCCGAGAAGTGACTGCTTATGTAACGTCGACCAAATCCATCAGTGTTTGCTGGAGGTAAATCTGGGCAGCAAAGATGGAATGCTCTAGTTTGGAAATCCAGTGAGAAAAACTGTAGGTTTCTCTCTTAGGGAAGAGCAGATATAGGATATAACTTGAAAAAGCATTCATTGGGAAGCTGAAATAAATATCACAGGTAGCTATCAAATTTGAAAAAGGACAAATTTACAGCTAGCAGTACTGTGCTTAGCAGCCATTCTTAGGCATCATGGTCTCTCTATGTTGCTGACACTGTGAAAGGGAGATT